CCACCAGGACAAAGAGGACTTGATTAAGACATTAATAAAAATTGGGGGTCTCCAAACTCCAGGGCCGGTGTCCTGCAGAGTTTAGCTCCAACCTGCTTCAACACACCTGCCTGGAAGTTTCTAGTATGCCTAGTAGTGATGGGACGATTGATACAGAGGCTCTGATGCTCCGATGCTCCGACACAGTTTTCAAAGCACTGGATGGGCGTATCGATCCAAAGTATCGATATATCGATACTGACGCGATTATCGAAAGTATCGATACTCAAACAAAAAATATCGATACTAAGGTGTGTTTATTTGACCAGAGATTTTGTTAATTTAACAAAAAAAAAATCAAAAATAAATATGCATTTAATTGGACGAATAACCTTTGTTAGCGAGTAACTGTGTAGGATAGAACTATTTTCCTGCTCATCTGAACACGCAAATGTTTCCCAAAAGTATCATAAGAAAGCATTAAAGCTTTTGGGAACGGCAGCCCTGAACAATGCTTATCAGAGGACAGAAGGACAGAGTTATTTCACAATAAACATACTGAAATTGTAGCCTACATAGTTTGTGCAATTACAGTTATAAATTAAACGTTGAAAGATAATACTGATCATGTTCTATTCTGTAATGTTAATAGAAATCATACACTGTCAGAATAAAAAGGTTGCATTTTATGCATGCAACAGCCGGTCACTGGCAGTCCCTTATGAAAATGAACCATGGTTTTACTAAAGTGACCATAGTTCAACTGTAGTATTTATAGATTAGAATCATGTGTAAACAAAAAACATATTTAAACCATGTGTAAACAAAAATATAACCTAATAAGGGCGTATCGATCCAAAGTATCGATATATCGATACTGACGCGATTATCGAAAGTATCGATACTCAAACAAAAAATATCGATACTAAGGTGTGTTTATTTGACCAGAGATTTTGTTAATTTAACAAAAAAAAAATCAAAAATAAATATGCATTTAATTGGACGAATAACCTTTGTTAGCGAGTAACTGTGTAGGATAGAACTATTTTCCTGCTCATCTGAACACGCAAATGTTTCCCAAAATTATCATAAGAAAGCATTAAAGCTTTTGGGAACGGCAGCCCTGAACAATGCTTATCAGAGGACAGAAGGACAGAGTTATTTCACAATAAACATACTGAAATTGTAGCCTACATAGTTTGTGCAATTACAGTTATTTAAATTGAACGTTGAAAGATAATATAGATCATGTTCTGTTCTGTAATGTTAATAGAAATCATACACTGTCAGAATAAAAAGGTTGCATTTTATGCATGCAACAGCCGGTCACTGGCAGTCCCTTATGAAAATGAACCATGGTTTTACTAAAGTGACCATAGTTCAACTGTAGTATTTATAGATTAGAATCATGTGTAAACAAAAAACATATTTGAATCATGTGTAAACAAAAATATAACCTGATAAGTTACAATTAAGGCGTACTGAATGTTAAAATGCGTTTTAAACAAAGTTAAGTGCTTATCATTACCCATTTTACTCTTAGTAATTTAATTTAAATTTCATAATTTAAAAGTTTAGTTCAGAAGTATCGAATCGGTATCGATATCGACGATACTGCCTTGAAAAATATCGGTATCGTATCAAAAACAAAATAAGTGGTATCGCCCATCCCTAAGTCTATTGTATCACACACTGTGCCGATGCTTGTATCGAAATGACAATACCACGTGATTGATGACGTTTGAAGCTTGATTTTACATTGACTTGGTTGTGTGTGTGTGTACACTTATTTGGGATTCAGTAGAATAGCTTAGAATAACCTCAACACCAGACAAACACTGAACGCACGTCACACCTCTATTGCATTTTGTTATGTTCTAGATGGGGTCTCAGAGACCCCGAACAGCTCACCCAAAATAGTTTTGCTACTACTCACGTCAATTATTAATTATAATCACACACTTGTATATTTTATATTATTGATCAATATGTGAATCCATTTACCGGACTACGCATGACACGAGTTGGCACCGGTTGGCACAGTTTAGAGGGGTGGTTGATTGCGATTTCACTTTTTTAATGTTAGTTAGTGTGTAATGTTGCTGTTTGATCATAAACCATATCTGCAAAGTTACGAAGCTGAAAGTTCAATGCAAACGGAGATATTGTCTTTTAAAATTCTGGCAGTTTAATGCCTACAAAAACGACTGGTAGGGACTACAACGAGCTACTTCCCGGGTTCGTGACATCAAGAACCCAGAATTTTACATTAAACCCCGCCTCCGGGAACACGCAGCAAAGGGGGCGGGGCCATGCTGCTTTAGAGAAGAGGAAGAGAAAACTACAGGTGCATGTAAAAATCTGTTCATATATGAATCGTGATTCTGTCTTCTAACGATTCTAATGGATTCACAAGTTTCAAAATCAATGTTCTAAAGCAGCGTTCTCATCCTGTTCCTGGCCTCGCCCTGCTCTGCACACGCTCTGCATCTCTCTCTCTCTCTCATTCAGATCATCAGCTCAGTGAATACACTTATTTTCACATACTATAGCTATGAGAAGCGTTACGCGCGTGTGGTTGCCGAACTTTATTAAAGCTTTAATCAGAATAAAACCGCATATTAAAAGCTAACAGAAGCAGTAGCATTTACAAATAACAGCGTATCTAAAAGTATGAGACAACAACGAACAAAAATCTGCTGAGGGGCGGGACCATTAGACGCACGCTAGAGGCGGTTTAGCCAATCACAACACACTAGGCCAGCTAATCAATCAGAGCCCATCGTGTATTTCTGAGGGAGGGGCTTCATAAAAGCAAGAAATGATCAGCGCGTTCAGAAGAGAAGGGAGAGAGAGGTGTGTAATAAAGGTAAATTATGTGAAAAACTATGCGTTTTTTAACAAACGAAGCATTAACACATGTTAGACTGCACCCCATAAACGCAATCAAGCCTATATAAAAAAAAAGTCAACCCCCCCTTTAAAAACTTTTTCAAACCATCCTCTGCTCCGCGTTGTTTCGTTAGATTCCCACCATCGTGTATTTCTGAGGGAGGGGCTTCATAAAAGCAAGAAATGATCAGCGCATTCAGAAGAGAAGGGACAGAGAGGTGTGTAATAAAGGTAAATTATGTGAAAAACAATGCGTTTTTTAACAAACGAAGCATTAACACATGTTAGACTGCACCCCATAAACGCAATCAAGCCTATATAAAAAAAACAGTCAACCACCCCTTTAAAAACTTTTTCAAACCATCCTCTGCTCCGCGTTGTTTCGTTAGATTCCCATCACTAATGCCTAGTAAGACCTTGAGCTGGTTCAGGTGTGTTTAATTAGGATTGGAGCTCAACTCTGCTGGACACCTGCCCTCCTAGACCGAGTTTACAGACCCCTGATTAAAAAAAATGCAACATGTAACACCATATGTGTCCACTAGATGCAAGCAGAGTTCAACAATTGTGATGTGCACCGTTAAATTATTAACAGCCTACACTGGCGATACCAATACATAGCCTTGTCATATATGTTGTTATATGTATAATATTTTCATAACTTACTCCTTTAGTCTTCGTATATAAAGGTGGTTATATTATTATCGTTTCGTGAGGGACAGTAATTCCATACTATTCCATGCAATTGTCCATGCTATGTGACTAGTCAGATAAAAAAGTAGTAGAAGTAGTAGTAATAGTAATCATAACAACAACAATGATGATAATAATAATCGTATGAGCACATTTCAATTTTAATAACCATTATTCACATTTTTCTTCGTTGGATTAATAAAGTACTTTAATGATTTGATAAGGGACATAGCAGAATTATTTCGTTTCATTATTATTATAAATCGTATTCACTATTTCCCTCTTGGCATCATTAAAGTATATTCATCTATAAGAGCGAACCATCCATGATTTATGAGAAAGTTGTTCTATAATGCGAGACTTCTGTGAAAGTAACAGCGCTACGCCAGTGCACAATAACTCATTTTCAGGGGAAGTTGCTAAAGGAAGGTTGATTTGTTGGTAAAAGTTGCTAAATGATGTTGTGACGTCATTACGTAATCACGACGCAAAATTTTCAAATCTCAGCAAAAACATATATTTTTTTACGTTCATTTAGATTTGTTCGTAATAATATAAATGCATAATATAATATTAAAATATAAATTAAAAAAATTAAATACACTGATTTATCGAAAGCTTGCACATTTTTGAACGATTACAATTTAAGTTTTTTTATTATCATTATTATTAGCTAGTAAACAAGTAAAACTACAAATTCTGAACAATTACACTTTTAAGCAGTGTACTGGTAGTTAGTTAGTATGCTACACTCTAAGAAAAGTCTGTAAAAAAAATAGTGCACAATCTACTGTGTTAATATGAAGGAGTTTTCTGTATTGATTTTTCCACTGGTTCTTTTTTTTACCTGCATTTTTAATTACGCATTTTCGGGTTACAACGGATAATGTCCTGGAAAATTAACTAGTTAGTAACTAACTCATCAACAATCGCAGGTACAAGCTACTAACAAAGTGTCTCATAGATGAACAATAACAGTATTCAATTATGAAATTATTATTATTACTATTAAATTAAACAATTGCAAATAGCAGCTAACTTAATTCCTGGGATGTGTGTACTGCTAAGCATCTTTGGATTTTCTCGATTTGTGTAATTTAAATGGTAAATTGTGCCTTTTTATTGTTTGAGTCACTTATCAAAAGTTGCTAAAAGTTGCCAAATTAAAATTTTTAAATAGCTAAATATGTTGCTAGGTGCTTTTGGAAGAAAAAGTTGCTAGGGTAGTCTGAAAAGTTGCTAAATTTAGGGACAAAATTGCTAAATTGGCAACACTGTGCCTGACTCCAATAGCCTGACTTGTGTGCCGTCGACCAAACTTGACAGTTCCTGGTCCCGCCTCCTCTCTCCTGGTCCCGCCTCCTCTGCCTGTCAATCATCCGTAGCCGTGAGGAATCATCTAGTGTGCGCGCACGCAGCTGAAGTAGGAGGAGACGCTGCTGTCATCTGCAAAAAAAGTGGCACAATCCATTTTTAAAGGCAACTGGCTTTTTTTTTTTCCTTCCAGGAATTTTATTTTTCTACAAGTGTTGTGACTGAGCGCTCCCGTGATATAAAACGACACAAAAGGGAATGTTTTTGACATTATTCAGTTACTGGTTCAGTGACGCTTCATTCACCCGATCGGACAGCGATTCCTTTTCTGAGGAGGAATCTGTTTTTCCTCCATTTGAAGGGGTGGATAAGGCAGGAGAGGGGGTAAATAGGAAAAGTGGATGTCACCGGGACCCGTGTCGGTGGTGAGCCGCCGCGGAGCTGCTGTGGGAGTGTCGCACGCACGCACGCGAGGATAGTTTGCCCTGGATTTTTCAATCATTTGCGAGATAAGGCTCCCGGACCTCCTCCTCGTCGTTGTCGTCGTCGTCGACGCTGCCCTCCCTTCCTCATCCTCCCGTTTTTTTCTTCCTCTCTTACCTCCGCGATTTTGCCGCGGTCCGCACGCGGGGTAGCAGCTCGCGCTCAGCTCGAGAGGACTGAACGCAGCGCGCGAGGCCCCCCGGCCCCTCCCCCACTCTCACTCTCAAACCCACTTCAGATCATCTCCTCACCTCCCTTCTCGTTTTCCCCTTCATTTTCTTAACATTTTTCCTCAGAGGAGGAGGATTGCGGGGACTATTTAATTTTGACCAGCCTTCTTCCCAGCGGCCACCCGAACCAAGTGATATTTTTGTGTGTTTTTTCTCGTTTCTGAAGCCCCGACGAGGCCGGGCTGTGTACAGTAAAGCAGTGGGGATGACTTTAGAGTCGATGATGGCCTGCTGCCTGAGCGAAGAGGCCAAGGAGTCGAAACGAATCAACGCCGAAATCGATAAGCAACTGCGTCGGGACAAACGCGACTCGAGACGGGAGTTGAAGCTGCTCCTCCTCGGTACGAGAACCGCCGTTAAACTCACTCGTACACATAAATATACAGTCAGTCGACAGGTTTCGCTGTGGTTTTCAGCGGTGACTTGTGGTACTAAACACGCCACCTCCGTTTTATCGCGGTGGCGGTTTTCTAAAGTAGGTTTAAGGTGTTTGCGGTTAATGATTCTTTTCTTTTTTTTATCCAAGTAAATAGTTTGCAGGCTATCAGCGTTAGCGAATATGCTAAGGCGTTAGCGCGTTAGCATATGCGGGCCGAATACTGGACAGGGCCTGGCATGCAACAGCATACAAATCTCAGCATGCTCTCTGTTGTGTGCATATGCATGTACATGTACACCAGAGGTCTGCTTTTAGGCGAAATTGTTGTATACTGGCTGGTTTGTTTTTCTAGCTGTCAGTTTTTGACCCAAGTGGTCTGTTGTATGATAATGCATGTTGCATGCCGTTTGATAGAGCTAGAGAGTAATGTGTGCAAAAGGACAATGGAGAATGACTGTACTGTATGGCAGAGTTGCTTTGCACAGTGTCAGTATGTGCAAATTAAATGACAATGGTTTGTGTAACTGCATGAATCCTGTTGGATTACAGTATTCAAATCGTAGGTAAATCAGGCTGAGGTTTGTCAGTTGAGCGTTTATTGCTTTAGTGAAGGGAAGTATAAATGCTGTTTAGTTGGTGCAGATGATGTTTTCCCTTGATAATCTTGACAAGTTAATGAGAAAAAAATATAAATTAGTATGCAAGTAACAGCCTGGAGTACAAAGCATCAATCAACGGATGCATCTTTGGAGCAATACTATGTCAGTCTGTGCCACCTGTCAAATTTGGGTCATCTCTGCACTTTTACCATTTATTCCTGAGTTGAATTATCTCAAAATGGTGGACAGTTATTGCCTTATGAGGGCGTGATTGCAATGCACACTGGACTCTGGTTACTCCCAAGGAAGGAGAATTGGATGTTTTATCAAGCTGTGAAGTTTGGTTGCTGTTCTGTCTATGACTCGGTGAGTTTGTAAGCAGTGATATCTGACACGGACAGCCTTCATTCATTTCCTATTAGTTAGTACTGTTTTTCCGCTTGAAACCACAAAATGAGCTGCTCGTATTAAAATGGATCATACAGTAGGATGAAACAATGAGCTGATGACAAAGCCAGATAGGGAGAGATGGACAGAAGTGTGGATTTTGGTGAGATGAAGTCCAAATGACCCTCGCTAAACACAGCCCACCTTGGTTACGGTTGTCAACTCAGAGAAGCTTTAAAGAACTTCATATTGGAAAGAACTTAATTTCCACGAACAATATGAATTCTTTTCAGTAAAATGTTTTTGTTCTTTTCTGATGTTACACGTCTATACATGCACATGTTTGATGCAGAAACGTAAACCAAAGATATCTGTTGTTATCTATATCACAGAAGACTTTAGTTGACTGGTAAGCATTTGTTCAGTTTCTGTGGTTTTTAAGTTAAGTTAGTGTGTCATTCGTGAGCATGTTTCACTGAAAATGTTAAGAGAAATTTCCAAGAGGTTTCTGGGATGTTCTGTGAAGCTAACCAGGGGAACACAGTGTAAGGAAGGGTCATTTGAATTAAACATTCTGTTTGAAACATTGGTGAACCTGTATGCAAGATTATTTTACCTTTCGTTTGAAGTTGTCACCACCCAAGCTTGTCAACGCAACCCGAGCTTTGCATAAGCATTCTTGAACTCTGGATAGGAACATGAGCACTTCTGTAACAGTGAATGATTCTGAGGACACAGTGGCTCCTATGTGGATCTGTGACCTCTGTGAAAATACACAAGATTGACCTATGAGAGAATTAATAAGTAAAAGTTCTCTCCCTTTTGCTATCCCTCTGCCACCAAAGGAAGTATATATAAAAAAAAGCAGCTTGTTGGTGCTCAGTCATCCTATTAATGGCCCATCATAAATAAATTAAAACTGTCAGCCTAACTCTGGATAAGTCTTGGCTAGTCTGGATTAGCCAAGACCTTAATAGGCTTTGTGAACACATATTTGCTCCATTGCTGATACTGTAGCTGCTTTGTGTTAACCAGCATCTCACTCTGTAAAAACAGCTTAGTCTAGATCAGTGATCAGTGATTAGGGTTGGAGCTAAACTCTGCAGGAAAGTGGATCTCGCGAGCCAGATTTGAGGATCACTGGTCTAGATGGTTAAGCTTTGACAAATTGTGGCTATTAGTAGGACTGGGCGATATTTCAGATATTCACAATGTATAAGCAATGATTTTTGGCCATTAATTCAGCGATCTTGTCTTATGGTTTGGATGTATGAGAGCATTGTCTGTGGCAATATTCATGTGCTAAAATGTTTGATTTTTAAATATTGCTGCTTACAGGTGCATCTCAGTAAATTAGAATGTCGTGGAAAAGTTCATTTATTTCAGTAATTCAACTCAAATTGTGAAACTCGTGTATTAAATCAATTCAATGCACACAGACTGAAGTAGTTTATGTCTTTGGTTCTTTTAATTGTGATGATTTTGGCTCACATTTTACAAAAATCCAAAAATTTCAACAAATTAGAATATGATGACATGCCAATCAGCCAATCGACTCAAAACCCCTGCAAAGGTTTCCTGAGCCTTAAAAAATGGTCTCTCAGTTTGGTTCACTAGGCTACACAATCATGGGGAAGACTGCTGATCTGACAGTTGTCCAGAAGACAATCATTGACACCCTTCACAAGGAGGGTAAGCCACAAACATTCATTGCCAAAGAAGCTGGCTGTTCACAGAGTGCTGTATCAGTTATTTTGGTTCATCATTCTGTTAATTTAGTGAAAATTGATATGCAGAATATGCCTTGCCACTGTATTGTATGTCTTGCATTACATATTGTGAATTTAATTGACTACAGTGGCTCTTTGGTCAAAATTATGGTTTCTCTGATTGAAAAAGTTCTGAAATAATTTTTTTAAAAATATTTTATGCTATATGGCCCAGTCCTAATAATTTCATATTTAGCAGTAGTATATGTTAATGTTTAGTATATTTTAAGTATATGAAATCCATATGGTAGCTGATCTATGAATATGCAAATTAGTCCAGACTCCTCTCAGTCACACCAGCCAGCGCCTCCTGATCCACTGAACTGTAGTAAACGCAAAACAATGGCATACATGGATAATGACTGATAAAACTATCTTTTTACTAGCAGACAACTACAGTGAAGACTGTAACAATCGTTAAAGTTACTTACTTGACTAGACTCGATTACTTCCGTTTGTGATTCTTAATTTGCGCCCACGAGCATACGCGTGTGAAGTGCAGATACCGATGCGGGAGAGGTGGGTCTGACTCCGGGCTACTTTTACACTGTTGCCACGGGTTATAATGCAAGTTAGCGGTTCTAAATTCACATTAAACCACAGCTTAATGGGTTTTTTGCTTTCATTTATTTTTGGTTTTGTGCTGGTATTGGTATATATTGCATGCTAGTGATAGGAATCGATCCCTTGACGTTATTGGTTTGTGACATGGCAAACCGAGGGCTGTTTCAAACTGTATTTCTGGGTCAGCCTTTGGGAAACTACCGTTTTAAGGAGAAAATACTCAGCAATGGTGTTGATTAATGGATTGGCACATGGTTTGTCTAAAGGCATATTTAAAACATCATATAGACAAATAAACAACATAAAAAACTTGATTTTCACTACAGGGGACTTTAAGCCTTCTTTCTTTGCGTGAACATTTGGGCAGCATTATGCAAATCTTCCCACATGGTGACGTAGACGTGGGGGTGTTTAAACAAGGTGTTTTAGGAGGGTGTGGACGAGTCTTAACTTTTATAAAGAATATCTCTTTGGGTTTGAGACTTTAGTCTAGTGATGCGCGGATGGCGGTTATATCCGCGGGTTAGGTAATAAAAAAATACATTCTGATTATTTGCGGGTGGGTCGTGGGTGGATAAAATAATTAATGCAAATATTAACTACATTTTCTAAAATATGAACATGTTTTAAATAGGCTTCAGAAATTGAATAAACTGTAAATTAACATTAAAAGTTATTCAACAAAACATTTATTTAGTAAAGAGCAGTGAGGGATTTTCTCTATTTTTTGTTGTTTGATTAACATTAATGACAGACGGCACAGCTTTATTAGGCTGCTGTCACAAGACCTATTTCATGGATCCAATACTGATACTCATGCGTTTTATTTTGCAACCGTTTACATTAACTTAAGACAAAACCGTCAGTGCTTTCTCAATTTGGTACTCGCAGCACGTGCTTTGTATGTGACTGCGAGCACACAGAAAAGCGCCTCTGGACAGCGCGAGTACCGAATGGCTTAAAAGACGTGAAAATAATACATTTTTGTGACAATGCAACAATGACCGATTAGGCAATTGACAATTCTGTCAACTGTCCCAAAACGTGAGCTAAAGTCTTATATCGCAGCGTGCAGCAGCTCTAGATGCGTCGATGTGAAGAGAATGTCAAAGAGCAGCAGCAGACAGTTAGCCTATGTTTGATCAATTTAGCCTTCTCAAATCATCACGACTTGCCTAAAATAAAATCTATAGATATAAAACAGTTCAAGCATATAACAATGTTTAAACGTTAAACCTAGATAAATGTGCACTATATCCAATAGTTTGTGCATAGAGTGGAAGCTAAAGCGCGCTTTGCTTTGGAGGCGCCAGCGCGATCACTTGCATTTTTTTCAGTGGCTACGCCGTTATTTTTGCTCATAAAGGTAAGAGCAATACATCATTCGTAGCTGTAAAGGGTCTACTTTTATTTGTGTGCACTCACAATGTCAACAAAACGTTGTGCTTTTATAAAATAAAGAAAACAAACATGATGCGCTTTCTGCCGTCTCGTCTTGAACAGGAGCGCTTCACAAAAATGAACCAAAACTCAGCGAATACATGTCTCACAGACATGATAAATATATCTATAGAAAGCTTTAAATTGCTACTTAACTAAATAAAACAAATCAAAAACAAAAACTCTTTAATTATAATCATAAT